CAGAAGGAATGCGCATCGTGACTTAAAAATAATCACAAATAGGGGGTTGTCAGTAAGSTTGATAATCATGACTTCACMGTGTTAAGTGGTCGCACAAAAACTACACGCGCGGGGTTGCGACCAAACCCCGCAAACACTTTTTGTGACGTACTGATATGATTAAAATACACCCTGAACCTATTCATTGAAAAAGAAGAAATACTTATTGGATCATCATTGGATAGATGAACAATATTTCATACTGTTGGGATTGACTTTAGTAGGAGGACATGAAAGAATATTTAAGTGAGACCAAAAGTTGTTACTAACATGCAAAATTGCACCTTTGGGAAAGGATAAAATTTTAACCCCAACCCCAACATTTCAGCAGTAGCTATTAATGTGAATAGTAGTGTTTTTCAACAAGAGAATGAAGTCTTCCTAGAAATAGTAAGTGAAAGTTTTCTAGTATGGAAAACTCTTTGGTGGTATCCTCTGTCAGTTGACAAGAAATGGTGAAATACTTTAACACAAGTACTGACTCTCAATCTTCATTGTGGTCTAACACCAGCAGTCTTGCAACCAAATAGTTTTGCTTGCACCTTTACCCTGTAGCCCTAGTAGTACAAGTCAAATTTTTCATCCCACAAGTCATTACACAGTACAAACAAGATGACCAGCAGTTATCCACGCACCCCATTATTCAACCATATAACTGTTTTGTTAATCATTAACCAACAGTTAAATCTGTATCTTAGTCCCCAACGGACACCTAAGTATGGTAGGCACATGAATTGAAAGCCATTTTAAAGAGCTTCTTTCTAATGGTATGGGGGAGTCAGGGTTCTTAGTAGTGGAATACTGATATACATGTATGAATATATGATTCAAAATGTACAACTGGATCGTGTTTTTTTGCTTGGCCAAGCCTATACAACAATACAGTTGTTGGTTTGTAATGGTATTGCTAGTATCATGCCAGCAGTAAGATTGAATTGCCCTTCAAACAAACAAGCTTTTAGTATATCATCAACTTCATCTTACCAGTTGAAAGGGTTCTCCTACTGGTCATTCAAAATAGCTTCCTTGTTGTAGTAGGGTCATTTTTCTTCAAAAGAGGTGCTAGTTAACATTGTGGTTTTTATTTTTTTATTTTTTGTCACATTAATTGCATGGAAAGTCTTGATTGAAATAATTTGGAACCATGCAAAATTGACTCTCCAGTACTTATTCTATGTGTTCTATTGAGGAGAGTTCATCTTGGAACAGAGGAAGTGTAAGTTACTTCTTGGAGGGGATTTTTGGTACAATGATATTCTTATTGCATCATATCTAGTAGTAGTATCATACTTGTCAGCATAACATTGTTCCTTGATTATTTTCTTAACACTAGTAGAATGAAGAAAAGAGTAAAATGGGGAGGAAAGCAATACAAGGTCTTTATTTTGCAATGTTTGACACATAATTGCTGTTCTTATGGTTGGGATTGGGAATGGATAGAATACTTTTAATTGCTACTTCATCCTCATCCAAAGCTTTATTGTAGATTGAATGACATCCCAATGGGTTTAAAATYATGGTTTGAATTGTCATTGCATTTAGAATAATTCAGAGYAACAAATATTGTTTTGACATATCCCAAGTTATTGTTTGCAGAATAACWATTTGAAGTAGMTTTCTTGTGATTGAARTGATGAAAAATATTCTCATTRCATCCGAAGAAAACTATAAGACTTMTGGATCATGGTGTAAWAATACATATCGTCAGCTGTAATGTATAGTGCCGAMAACATTTCTTTCCTTTTAYGTTGTCGTTGRCAGTTACTACGTGCATATTATTTCGTTGACTTCGTGTTCGGGATCTTCGAAACAACAAGCATCATCCACTATTTCTTTTATTGTTGTTCTACCGTAATCGCTSCGTCAAAAATTGGAMATGTATGATTTGCATTTGATGCTACTGTGAGGAGTTCCGATAAACRAATTCTTTCTATTCTAGTCGTGATTTAGCTAAACAGATCGTCTGTCAAGTCATCGGAGCCAAACAAATCGTCCAATGACGATTCGATATCCTTTTCCAGGTCCAAGAKATCATCACCGCTTTTCCCGTTGACATTTTCGTCTTTTGAAACCTCAATCGAARCGGGTACCGCGGAAGCTGCAGCAGCGGCCTCGGCAACTTCCTTCTTCTTTTTCAGTCTCTGTTCTTTCTTTTTCTTCTTGGCCTTTTCATTAGCTCGTCGATCGGCATTGACTTGCTTGACAACCTCCGGACGGGGTGTTACAATCATGGACAAGTTGCGTCCTTCACGTTTCGGTCGTCCCTCTCTCGTGCACATGTCTTCCATTTCCTCTGCCAACTTGTCCAATAGCTCGTAACCTAGTTTGTCGTGTTGGACCTCTCGTCCTCGGAACATGACCGAACATTTGACTCGGTTGCCCTGTTTCAAAAATTTCAGGGCGTTCTTTTTTCTAACTTCGTAATCGTGGACATCGATCTTGTAGGACATTTTAACTTCCTTGATTTCGGTTGCCTTGGAATTCTTTTTGACCTCCTTGGCTTTTTTTTCTTTCATGTAACGGTATTTGGAGTAGTCCGCAATCTTGCACACTGGTGGATCCGAATTAGGGTTGAGGAGGATCAAATCAAGGCCCCCCATTTCCTTTGCTTTTGCCAAGGCCTCATCCCGAGACATGATACCGAGAGGTTCGTCCTTCCCCTTCGCGTTGGTCGCTGTGACACGAATATCGCCTACGGGCACTTCTTCGTTCATCGGTGGTTTTTGCTCCTTGACAGGCGCGCGTCTGTTCATGTTCATGTTACGCCTGGCCATAAAGAGGGTTGTYGCAGATACTTCATCGCGTTGATGCTCTTGTTCTGTACTTATTTTCGGTACTGAGGAAAGTCCGACGCGAGGCACAAATCCATCAACAGCAACAGATGCCGCAAGAAAAAAGAGAACGGCGGTCACAGCCCCCTGTCGGTTATTGCACGAGAAACTCATATCTACTCAATTTCTTCTCTCCCGATTTGTGTTTCAAKACTAATTATTGTGTTTGTCTTCTACAGCAGTACTATTCCGAGTATCACGAGTAGAAAACTTATCTATCGTGGCGTGTATGATGTAGAGATGTGATGGGATTGAYGATGTGCTAGGTGGAAACTCATGAAGGCTTTGCGTTAGAGCTGAGCGGAATGGAAGGCCTTGAATCCAGGGCGCAGTGATAGTCTGATTGCGTTCGAATAATGGATGACGTTTTTGTGCTCGTTGAGTTGGCTTGTACCGGTACGTACGTCCTGCGTCCTTGAAATATGATCTGAATAAAATGCTTATTAGGGTTAAGAATAAAATTTCATGGTGGGTCAGGAAGTCCATGAGAT